AAAACAAAAAGGAAAAGAAGATTTCGGAATTTCAGGATTATCGAAAAATGAAATCTGAAAACCAATCCCATACTGAATATTTCGGTTTGGGATTTTTCGGTTTGAGTTTGAGGTTTTTCCGGTTTGGTTTGGGGTTTTTTAGAATTTTTTCCAGCCCCAATCCAGGTTATAGTCTTCTACATATTATCATCAAATACCCTTGTGCATGTAGTATATGTCTGTATATTTTCCGATACATATGGACTATACATGCACTACATGGACATATATAATAGTTCTCATTCTATGATTCCTATCACTTTTATGCTCTAAATAATAAAAACTTCTATGATTAATGACAGAAAAAATCGATGATTGCAGCAATGGAGATGTTGCCATTGATCAATGCTACCTCTATAAGGTTGTAAATCAAGGAATAATAATATTCTCCAAACCCTAAATTCCCACTACGAAGTTGAAGAGCACATTGAATATGAGATCCTTAATTAATTTTTAGCTTCTTTCTTATAATTATGTATGCATTTCTTGTCATTACAGAAGATGTAGCAATTATGAAAGATATGAAGTTGGATGCTTATAAGTTCTCTATTGTTACCAAGTAATGTTGACATCTGCGTCCATATACTTGATTTGGGACCAATTACTTCATCTATTAACCTGTTTTACTTAATTTGATTTCGATTTATAGATAGGTATTAACTCACTTGATTATTTTGTTCTAATTATTAGAGGGCACGCTAAGTGGTGGTGTCAACAGGAAAGGAATTGAATATTACGACAATCTCATCAATGAACTCCTTCGAAATGGTGATAAAGCTACCTAATCTCATATACCATCCATCCCATCTAATCTCGTATATCATCCCATCCATTAATATATAATTGGAGTTTAATAACGTGCACTCATAAAACAATATTGAATCAAACTATACTTATTAGAGAAATTTTAAAAACTAACCCCTTTGGAGCCATCTATATTGGCATTTTTATCCTACTGATAGGAGCATATTTATGCGCCTTAGTTAGCTAGTTCTTATGCATTTTTGTTATGTTTTCTTCGTTAAAGTAGTCTTTTAAGCTACGTTCATGTGTTTTCAGGTTTAAAGGACATATTACATGAAATGATGCAATTTGGAGCAAAACTGAGCTGGAATGTGGTGTATGCAAATAGAGCACGAGGAATAGACGTCCAAAACAATGCATCACACAATCTTCCTCCTAAGCCGTGCATCCCACCATGCCTATCTATCATCCATAAACCCTAATTCCCTTTAATCCATAGCCTTCCATTTAATCCACCCATTGATAATTCCCACCATTCCACCCAAAACCAAGCACTAACTTCCCATTATCCATTTCCACACCACTTACCATTATCTCCCACTAATTATCCATCATCCGTGCATTCCATTGCTCCATTATTCATATTAGCCACCATAAAATAATTTCCATTTAGGCCATTCACTCCATCATTAACCTTTTTATTTTCAATTAAGCCGTGACTCCACACCACTTCCCATTATACATATTAAATCCGTGCATTTTCCATTCATCATTAACCCTAATACATATATTCACACCCTTATTCCACCATACTTCCATTCTACAATAAACAGCCGCATATTTGGTCCCAAAACCCATTCAGCCATTTTTTTATTATTCTCACCCTAACCCCCCCCATTGGTCCATTACAATATCTTTCAGCCGTGACCTAATTCCATCCATTCTCGCACCAAAAACCATAACCTAATTAACCCTAAACAAATCAGCCACTTTTCCCATTATTTCAATCAAGCCGTGGAGCCATATCCCAAAAATCCCATTATTCCATCCTCTAGCCGCAAATCCCACTTGGCCCATTATTTTCCACCCAAAACCATGCATTCCACCTAATTGTTCACTTCCCATTAATATATCCGCACCATAATTCCATTCCATTACCTAATTAACCAATTCATTCATGCAATTTTCTTTATTCGGCCACCATGCCATTTTTCTAACCTAATTCACCATCCCACCATCCGCACTATCTCATTAATCCCACCACTTTCCATTATCAATTTCAGCATTCCATTAACCTTAATAAATTAATCAAACAATTCCATATCCCATGATTCATTCCATTTCATCCGTAGCTTCCCATTCCATTTTTTTTTACTTCCACATTCCATTCACAAACCTGTCCGCATAAATTCCTCCAACCTTTCCTACCATACCATCCATTCTCCTTCCATCACTCCACACCATTACAAACCACCCAACCTCCATAAATCCATCCCTAAACCCGCAAATCATCCACCAACACCATTTAACCAATCTGCCGCAGAAGGAGAAGAGGAAAGAGGAGCTTCGACGCGCACCAATTCACGTGGATTCGTTGGGCGTTCTAGGTGTAATCAATCCTTTGTGCTTTATGTTTAAATTCAATTGTATTTCTCTTTTTGCGAACATGAGAGGCTAAATCCCCCTAGTTAGCTAGGGGGTGATTCGAAACCATGGTTATACTTACAATATGAATTGATTACTTTTGGTTGGGATTTCATGAATGTTGGATTCAATTTGTTTAAACCGTTTGATTGATAACTTATTTATGAATGTTTATTAAGAATGCGCGCTTAATTTTCATGCATAAATATGACGCTAGAATATAAGTGAATTTCACCTAATCGTTATGAACTTATATTCACAAGTAGTGGAGGTTGCTTATAAACAATCGCGTTAAATGAATTCTTGGCACGAGTATCATGCTTTTCATAGTTACAAATGCCTTGTCGATGCTTATAATTTCCAAAGAACGTAATGATTCTAACTTGTATCTTTATCATGCTGTTCATATAGAGAACTTGTTAGGAATAATTTGTTTGCGATGCATATTCATCCAATTCAATGATTCTAGGGAAATTTGAAGGTTAATTTAAGCGGACCTAATTAACTTGGAGTGTCGAGTTCCATAATTTATCGAAAGACCAACTGAGAATTAATTTTGTATGCAAGTATAACATGTGTGGAGATGAACCCCTTGGCTATTCCATCATCCATATTTTCATCTCATTCATATTTACGTTTTGCCTTTAATTACAATTTGTCCATTTAATTTAATATTGTCCAAACACAATCCCCCCTTTACTTTATTGTCAAATTAGTTAGAAATCAATTTAGTTTGTGTTTTTATAGAATTTTGAGTCTTTTGGTTTGTCTTAATGATTTAACGTTTAGTTTCACATTCTTTGAGTCTAGTTTAGTGTTTTATATTGTTTTTACGTTTTTGAGTCAAAAATCCAAGTGATTAACAATCCCTCCTAATCCCCGGTCCAGAACGATCCCTACTTATACTTATACTACAATTGACAAAAAGAGGGTTTAATTTGTGTGCTTACTTAGTTCGCATCACCTACCATTTTCAGTTTCTTAATTAAAAATCTGGCCAAATCTAGTGTGCACAAAGACAAGATGCCCTTAGATTGAAAAATCTGTTCCAAATCAAAGTCTTCCCTCTTCCAGCAAACTATAAACCTCGCACTACCCATTCGAATCACCAGGTATACAAAACCCCGGCACAAAATCACTAGCCACGACACTTTTTTCTTCAACGTGCATTTCAGTTCTATTACGCCACGTGTGGAATGAAGAATCAGATTCCCACTCTTTCCCTTCTTTTTCGTTTGGTAAAGTTGATGAGTTGTTGTCATAAAAAATGCAGTCATATAAAAGATGTCATTGTCCCTAAGGGGTTAGGGTTATGTCTTGTGAGGGGATCCCATCTCTAGGGTCTCCACAATTTGAATCCAGATGGAATCCCATCTTCGGATGGGTGTCACTTGCAGTGGGGTTTGAATGCTTTAAGAAAGGAAAAAGAGAGAAAAGACTCTTCAGCTAGTACATATCTTTGTATGAGGATCCTCTCTGGATCCTCTTTGTGAGGATTCTCTCCATATCCTTTTTGTGAGAATCCTAGGAATCCTCACATCGTGTTCGTTTATCGTATATTGTGCAGTCAGTTTTCTTCAGGTACTGTTTGTGTTTAATTTTAATTAAAGATATTTAAAATGGTTTATGACCGCTCGATATATAATGAACGGACACCATTTAAGAATTTCCGGAATCCAAACAAAGAGGATCCGGAGAGGATCCTCATTCCAAATCTCTAATCATGTTGAGTAAACTACATTTTCACACCTCATATATGGGCTGATTCTTCAAAATAGATCAAGAAATTTCAATTCTCACATTCACCACGTTGAAATATTGAAATTGTATTAATTTATGTATTGGTCAAATAAATTATATGTTAATTTATTAAATTTGAGCATTTTCAAAGGAGATGTCTATTCTAAGGAGAATGTTATGTAATAAAATTTGAAAGTAGATGTAAGTTTTAATCGATTTGTCAATTCTACATGATTTAACAAAAAGATTATGTGCTATCAATTTTGACATATAAAAAAATTATAATCTCTTTTATTTTCATAAAAAAGATCCGGCGAGGTCGGATTCTAACTTTTCTGGTCCATTCCATGCATGCGCGTACCGCCATTGCTTGTAAGTGAGGTCCCAACAGGATAAAAAGTCGAAGGATGAAAGAGTATCATACCTTATAGTATCTTGAACTGCGTTTCTCCATTTTTCAATTTTTTTTTTTTAAATATTTGTCTTTACTTAATTCCATTCCTTGATATATTTCCCAAAACCAATCCACCAAAGTTTTACGTTACATACATGCTTGAGAAATTATTTACTTATAAAAATATATATAATATTGCAAACGTATTCATATTTAATTATTATTGTTACAAAAGTATATTTAGTTTTTTGTATAAATATGTATTATCCCAACAGTATTCATATTTAATTATTATTGTGACAAAAGTATATTTTGCTTTGGACTTTTAAGTGGTCTTGACTTTTTTAAAGCCTGCACGTGTTTATCAAATTTTAGTAAATAAATGCTTATCAATTATTCTCACGTTTAGACGTGGTACGCAGCCCGCTATATAAACCCCATGCAATATGCGGGGAAGAACCAACCTAGCTATCTCGATCACCAAAACCCCTCCAGTTAACTATGGCAATGCATGATTTAGGCTCTTTGCTCTTGTGTGTCTTGCTACTCAATGGCTTTGCATTGACAAACACCAAAGCTGCTAAGCCAGATAAACCCATTGTCTGTAACTCACTTGACAGGACCAAGTTTGATGCTCTAAAACCAGGGTTCGTCTTTGGTGGATCTACAGCAGCTTACCAGGCCAGTCCCTGCTAGGGCTTAGCTATTTAATTACCCTTTAATTAATTTGAGTTTCATATAATCACATAGGTCTAATTTGATTTCAATGTCAAAAAAACTATAGCATATATATATATATATATATATATATATGCACATGCACATTTCAGTTTCATTGCAAGCATGAATATTGACATCTTCAGTTTGAATGTGCATATGCATATTTCAGGTAGAAGGTGCATGGAACGTGGATGGTAGAGGACCAAGCATATGGGACACCTTCACCCACAACCATCCAGGTTATAGTCTTCCACATATTATCATCAAATACGCTTGGGCATGTAGTATATGTCTGTATGTTTTTCGATACATATGGACTATACATGCACTACATGGACATATATAATAGTTCTCATTCTGTGATTCCTACCATCTTTATGCTCTAAATAATAAAAACTTCTATGGTTAATGACAGAAAAAATCGATGATCGCAGCAATGGAGATGTCGCCATTGATCAATACCACCTCTATAAGGTTATCAATCAAGGAATAATATTATTCTCCAAACCCTAAATTCCCACTATCAAGTTGAAGAGCACATTGAACATGAGATCCTTAATTAATTTTTATCTTCTTTCTTATAATTATGTATGCCTTTCTTGTCATTACAGAAAGATGTAGCAATTATGAAGGATATGAAGTTGGATGCTTATAGCTTCTCTATCTCATGGCCCAGATTGTTACCAAGTAATGTTGACATCCGCTTTCATATACTTGATTTGTGACCAATTACTTCATGGATTAACCTGTTTTACTTAATTCGATTTCGATATATAGATAGGTATTAACTCACTTGGTTATTTTGTTCTAATTATTAGATGGCACGCTAAGTGGGGTGGTCAACAGGAAGGGAATTGAATACTACGACAATCTCATCAATGAACTCCTTTGCAATGGTGACAAAGCTACCTAATCTCATATACCATCCCTCCCATCTAATCTCATATACCATCCCTCCTTCGCAATGGTGACAAAGCTACCTAAATACGATGGTACATATAATCCTTGGTGCTTACATAATTTTTATTTTGTGGGTTTTCGATTGCGAAGCTTGTATTCGCCTATAAAAAGTTTGATTAAATGCCCAACTGAAATCACATTTGGACGGTGATTCAACTCATTGCCTCTATTGCTTCACTTCTTACTTTTTGAAATTTTTGTACTTGGTTTTCTATGTGGTTTTGGTTCTCACATTTAAGTTGAATTCTTTGTTCGTAGTTCCAACATTTTCTTGGGGTTACATGTCAATCAGAGATTCAGAACTCGTTCCTTCAAAGAAGCAATCAACTTTCGGATTGAGAGTTTTTTGCTATCGAATATCATCACACTTCATGACTATGATTCTATACTTGTTTGGATTTTGTCAAAACCGCACTGCTATGAGCATGAACACCATTTCATCTCTCTGTCTTGCTCTTCAATTTTTGAACTTCATTTGAACTATTGTTAGGATATCTTTTGGAGGGGATTATACAAAAAAAACCCAACTCATGCATTGGGTTCTCATGCCCTTTGATTTTCCAATCATTGTAATTAAAGATTAATGATTAGAATAGCTGGAGTATCCTAGAACTTTACTTTTGTTGGGTCTGTTTTTGGTGTATGTTCAAAATGCAGTTTCATCATCATGGCTAAAGCGTTGCTTCACACGAAAATATCCGTTGTTCCTGTTGCATTCCAAAGTTGGATGGCAGTTTATGAGATGTATCGATCTATTTTACCTGAATGAATAATGTTAGGTTAATGTTGAATGATTTATCCGAATGAATTTGGCTTAGGATTATTTATTTTACCAATAAAAAATGGAATATTTTGTTTCAAATTAAGTGGATGTTTGTTGCTTACTTGCTAACTATACGTATGGGTGGGTATGCTACAATTTGACTAGTTCACTCAAAAAACATAAAGTGAACTGAAGTCCCTCTAGAAACCAAACAAATTCATATCCGATATAGTCGTTTCTGTTTGGACTTTGCTAGTTGATATTTTTGGGCGTTAAAATCATAAGCCTATATCCTTCAAACACCAGCAGCAAACTACAGAACTAATAAGCCTATAGAGTTCTCGGAAATAAAAACAAGCATTTTCAAATGAAAAAAAATAAAGTTTTACAATTTTGGTTGCAAGTGTTAGAACTATTTAATATTTTCGTATTAAAATTTTATTTTGTTAAAAATGGCTTTCACAGTTACTGTGTTGAATTTTTTTTGTAAATGTTTTCAAGGAGAATCATGAGTACATTTTTTTTCTTTCTAGGAAACAGAATGATGAGCACTTTCTAGAGAGAGAAGTAATGTAATGGAACCACTAGTGAGTTTTGGAATCCATGTAAGGATGTTGACTAGATTATGGAGGCTTTGTGATGCTTAAAAAATTGGGGTCTATCTTTATATATATTTTTCTTACTTCTTAAGTAAAAGAATGAATTAATGGTAGCATTTAAAGCAACCCCAATTGAGAATGTTATCTTAGAGATTTTCTATCAACTTCTTATTATTATTATTATTATTATTATTATTATTATTATTATTATTATTATTATTATTTACTTTGTAAGTCGTCACATATGTTTTTTGAAGAACTTAATGTTGCAAAACAACTATTTTTTTAAGAACTTAAAAGGAGAGTGCACACCATAAAAGATAGTCAACCGAGTGGTACCATGGCTTGGCTAGAGAGTAAGTTAATTATTAAGGAGAACGGGTTAAGGGCCCGTAATTAAGAGTCACCATAATGGAAACCCAAGTTGTCTGGAGATTCAAAGATCTGGGTTCAAATGAGACAACTAAATTATGATAATTTGGAGTAGCACCATGGAGATATACTTTCTCACTGATGTCTTGATAATAACAATACTGCTTACTAGTGAGATTATGTTAAACTTTGTTTTTAATAATTCAAATCGAATTCTTAAAATCCAAGTGGGATATTGTAGGATACTCTTAATGTGAAGTCATCTACTTGAGTCTGGAATGGGGCAGTTCAAATGAAAATTTTTTGAATGACTTAATTCTTTAGAGCACTCAAGAGACATCAGGAATTGTTCAGGAATGAAATGAACACAACTGAGTAACTACGGGGGTCTGGAATGTGTAGTGTGATTACTATTGTCTTGGTTTACACAAACGACTAAATAGTTTATGACATCATGCTCGCTGATTTGTCAAGTACATCTAATACTGATACACTACAAAATATTCAAAACCAAAAACTACATATCTCTATGCGGTACTTTGTTAACTGAATCTCTCTCTTAGTGTGTATTTTCATTTGCAAAATATTGAGAGCAAAACTCCATTCATGTAGGTGATTGTTAATATTTTCATATTAAATTTTATTTAGTTAGAGGGAATTTAATTAAGATGGTCCAATTCTTTAACATGTGTTAAGTTTCCAATTCTTGCACGTATTAACTTTCAAAGTTATCTCTGGTTAGAAACGACATCAAAGATGAAAATGCAAACCGGTCGTTTGAACAGTTAAGTGCTTATTAGCATAAATGCTTTCTAGAGAAGGACTCACAAGGCTTATGGTAAAAAACATATTTGACATTGTTACTATTCTTACTCTGATTCTAGAAAACTTTTAAGTATACAATGGGAATCTGAATTCTACAATTCTTAGAATTTAGACACAAATTTTTTACTATGAGATTTTGTGACAACCCGTCCCTAGTTCTATGATTTTATAAATTTTAAAAGAATGAATTTATGCCCAATGCCCTAGAGATGAATGTTTTGACTTTCTTTGACCAACGTGTAGAGAAACGTATGACTTACTTACTTGGCGCATTTATGTATTACTCGTTGGTACAAAAGCATAGGCGAAAATCGTTTGTGAGTTCGGATTATATCGGTATAGTTACGGTCGTTTGAAGTTGTAAAACTATAGATTGTTAGAATTATTCAATTTCCACATGTAGGTTAAAGGTTAAGGGATTTAAAATAAAGGGGAGGAAAGAAGGAGAGGTGCGAGGGAAGTTAAGATTAAAGGCATTGGCTGCCCAAATCAGGTAAAAGGAAATAGAGATCCCATTGGAAATGAGAGAGGAAGGCGATGGCCAATTAGAGAGGGGAAAAGGAGGGAAATGAGGGGGAGTGAAAACCACCCTACCTGGATCCCAGTTTTCGACCCGGTTGCAGACCCGGGTCCTGTAATTTTTCCGAAAAATTTTTAGGGGGTTTTCCGACGATTCGAAGCCAACCACCACTTAAGAACAACACCTCTACTGCCCTTCTTCAGTTTGCACTCCAAATCCGACAATTAATGGCTCCATTTCATGGGGTTTGACACTGACGGCATTGCGGGGTGCACGATCGTCAATTCTAGCAAGTCTGCATGTTCTGATGAGGGCCACCACTACCATTTGACTTCAATGGATTCCAGGAACAAAACCCAATCAAAATTGGAGGCGTTGGAGCACCTGTGAACAGGAATTGAAAGCCACCCATTTTAGGGTTCGGACGGATTTGGGTGAATTTGGAGCCTTTTCCAGCAAGGGGTAGAGGAGATAGAATTAATTTATTATTTTTAGCAGAAAAAGTGTTATTTATTAATATTAACCGGTTTTGGAATTGAGTGAGCTATATATGCTACATGTGTTAACATAAGCCATTAAAGCATGAGTTTGAAAAAGGTTAATGATATTCACACATTTTTATTAATTTTTTGTCATTAATCTTCGTTAATTCATTTCTTTTGAATGCCAAAAATTGAGAGGAATGTGTGTGAAATAAAATTAAATGTCTAAATCATGAATGTACCATTTCTTAAATATATGAATTTGTTACATGTGAAATGTATTATCTTTTAATATTGTACCCATTTTTTAATGTAAAATCCATTCATTTTTGTCCTAATCCATTTTCTAAACTTATATGGGTACATTATATTTCATTTGATTTGATAATGTATCCATGTCAAGTTTAATTGAAGAAATTTAATAATGTTATTTAGCCTAGTATCCTTTTTTTTTTCTTTTTTTTTTTCTTTTTTTGGTAGTGTTGAAAATATGTACTCTTGTTTATATATACATACAATGTAGTGGAGAGTATATTCTATCCTTTAATATTTCAAATCCCACAAATTATGGATTTTATTTAAAATCTCATTAATATAAACAACTATTGACACACCCCAACCCGGAATGTCCACTTGGACTTCGAATTGAGCTATGTTGGTCGACATTTTGAGGGTGAAGAAGCCATAAAGTGTAGTGATGTCGAAAATGTGATTAAATTTAAACCTGAAAGTACCTAAATGTAAAAGTGCGCTAGTGAGCGGGAATGAACCCATTTCACACATAACGTCAGAGTATAAGTAAAGAACAATAAAGTAGGATGAGAATTATGCCATTGAAGGTAATCTCCACTACCGATGTTTGCCAAGAATCCTCGTCGATGAGAAAGCTCAGCTTCTAAAACCTGGAGGGGTGAAAAACAAGGGTGAGTGGGCCTAAAAATAAAGTTTTAATAAAACCTTTCTGAAAACATTATAACCCCTTGCCGTAAAACAAGTGTAGTTTCCAAAATATACATACTACGTATAGTAAGAAAATACTTACCGTAGCTTGCAAAATCACAAGAATTCAATACGGCATAATAATTCGTAAATAAGTGCATGATGTCAGTAATTGTATAATCTCACATAAGCAAACATATCATATCGAGTGCTCATCAACACGTGTTCATGCAGAGGTATTCTGACATGAATAGGATTGGGTGTAACAATGATATACGCTCTAGTACTACTATCGCGTGAAGACTGGCGTTATGTGCAGCACATATGAGTCAGAGTTGGCTATTGTAACCTGTACGACATGACTGGCACCTACACGTGAAAGCCTGGCCCTGACCCGGGCGAGTACTAACACCGGTGCAGCAAACAATGAGAAGATAACATAAATATAATCATGGCATAGTGATTCGATAAT